TTGTCACAATCTTGACTAACATATAAAAGCAAAGAATTGACGTGCTCGAGAGCTGATTTATGAGAAATGGATTCGGCTATCGCTATTGTTTGTGACATTACATTCAAGAAACGAACCAATCAATCCAAATTCACGTGACAACTTCGGTGTTAAAATTATTATTGTCGGTTGTTCGAAAACTTTCGGCTTATCTTTTAACGTAAATTACTAATAAATTTCGGCTTACGCTATAATAAAAATTGGGTAAACCAGAAAAACTTCAGCTTAATGCAATTTCGGCTTAGCGTGGTGTCGTCTTAACGAGTTTCACTTGTAGTCTTTTGTCTTATTTGGATCAAAATATTAACAAATTGACGTAGAGGATGAAATTACAGCATTTGGACACTATTGCAATATATCTGAGATCGATTCATCATTGCTTGCAATAGTTTAGAGTTGATTCTAAAGAATTTATTTGTAGTGATATTTATGTATAAATCACCCATGTAGCATATGAAATACACCTCCGTGAATGAAATCTATTTCGGGTGTGTGGATCTACATTTGGAATAATCGTTGCATGATCTATTTCGGGCAAGCATATGATTTGATTTTCCGGCGATAGATGTACTATACCCATCACACATCGATCAACAAGATATCAACCGTGATGCTGTATGATAAATCGGAAAGTAAACAGCATAAAATTTTGATTAATAAAGATTTCGGGATTTATTTATTGTATTGGGCCATGCCAGCTCCGCTGATAACAATAATCGAAAATTCGAAACCAACAAAGAAAAAACGTAAGCGGGATGAGGCATTTGATGATGATTTCGATTATCTCTACGGCATCGTACAACAGGTCGAGATTGGCACTTTCTGTTATATAGTCTAGCGAAATTGCGCAGGCAAGCGATACCGCCCTTACTATCGAATTTACCAAAAAGGCCTTAGAAAAAAATTCCACGCTTTACGTAAGAAATGTAAAAAAATATTAGGTATTATCGCTGGTTTGTTAAAAGATAGGGCATGTGTTGAAAAATCTCCGACTACAAAAAGGGCCAAGGTTGAAGGATACCGCGTCAAAAAATAATGTCGTGTCCCCGATTATAATTTATTTTCATTGCCGTTAATAAATGCAATTTCGGAATATGCTCTTTTAATAAGTAATCCAGAATTAATTTCGGATAGCCTAATACTAACCTTTATCGTAAGCAAAGTATATAAGCAGACGAGAATAAAATTTTACAGCAATTATCCTACACGTGACAACTAATCACCTGATAATCTGACGGGTGCGTAGCAGTTTTGGCAATCGTGAATAGTTGTTCACGCAGACGTGACTCTGAACAGGAAAAATTGCGCCTGAGCTAAACTCACGCCCGCAGTAAGTAGACACTACACCTGTGACATGTTTCAGAAGAAATAGTTTGCGTATTTGCTTGTGTAATTTACGTAATCTGACTATATCTACGCCAATTTCAAAACTTTACCTGTTTCTGTACTTGTACTTAACCAATATGGCAAGTCTTTGGAATAAAAAATCAAACACTCGAAGTCGTGCTACGTTGAATAACGTAGTGGCAAGCAATTATTGTCATGTCTAGTGGAACGGAGGTTTCCACTTCTCTTAATGGTCCGGTGAAGGATGTCGAATGGTACCGCCAGCTTTGGTGGAAAACTGGTAACATACATCCCAAAGCCAAATGGGAAGAAGCAACGTAAGTATCCTATTTGCTTCAACGATTGAATATTTTATAAGCTAGTGGCTGATACCAGCTGTTATTTATCGTCAAGGTTACCATACAAACTAAAGACTGATGTATCGCTTGATGAGTATATTTTTCAGACAGATAAACATAATGTGAAGGGTCTTTGGGAATGGGAAAATAGAACCGTTCGTGTTATCGAACTTTCTTCAAGATTTCATGAGATTTGCGTCGGTACAATTAATGGAGAATTGTATAGTGCGCTTCGATTAGTACAAAACACTTTTTCTGGCTTTCTTTTTCTTGGTGCGACAAGTGAGTGTTTGCTAGTTTTCTTTATGCTAGGTATGTTTCTATTACTTATCATCTTTGATTATAGCAACAAACTCACATAGATCAGGCAAAGAAGCAGATGGGTCTATCATACCTGTAGGAAAACCTCAAGTGCCCCATGGTGGATCTGATGGAGGGGTATAAAGAGTTTATCTCATTTGCTTTCTAATGTGATTATGTTGAGAATTCTAATGTCGGTGATGACATGTACTCTTAGAATAAACCCTGGCCCAGTCTTGTAATAGAGGTCGCTTATGCTGTAACTGAGGCAGAACTTAAGAGGAAAATAGAGACTTACTGGCTTGCTCCTAATAGAGCTCACGATGTAATTGGCATCAAGTTAAACTATACACTGAATGTGCGTCCAATGGAGATGACTGTAAGTAATGAGATGAGGATTTAATTTCTGGCATTTGCCACTAACATTATTTAAATAATACATATTTATTCTTTAATAGGCTTGGCATTATTGCAGAAATAATCTAACACCCATTGGTACATTTGCCCCCATCATGGTACATTATATTATTTACATGCTTTTTTACCACAGAATTGAATGAATCTAATGTATTTATATTCTCAATTTAGTATGAATTCGGCATGGTTGACCGTCAAGGCAATCCCATCAACATTGTACCAGGGCAATGCATGATCAATATCCCATTGAGATGCCTTTATGATGGGATGCCACCTACCTTTATGATTCCATCACCCCCTCTACCTGACCCTATTCCTTTTGATCTCTTTCATGTTCAGTGGGCTGTTTTAAATTGTTAGAGGGCATGGCACGAAGTGTCATAGGTATCATTTTTCTGCAATTGCTTTACTAATATCTGTAAAATTATTTTTACTACGAAACACATGTAGACCCAAAGGGTCATGATTTGAAAAATCACCTAACAGCTTGCTCTACAATAAAGGTTGGCCTGTAAAATTATTCATGGAGTAAGGACAAAGAGGAGAAGCATCTCGAGCCCTAACCCATAAAATGAGAGCTCCTTTCCCTACTCCACATTAGCTATCATTCTCACCATCATTGTTACTGTTATCAAATAATATATTACTACTACTAGAAAATTTGTTTCTCCTCCCACTGCTAATTATAACGGAGTTATCTTTTTTCTGGTTCTCTTTCTCGATCCAGGCCTCGATTTGTCTAATGATGTACGTTTTGATGTTGATAGAATTTTGCGAACGTGGATGGGCTGAGCTCTATTTCTTCAGACAGGACATTGTACATTTCGTAGGAGAACGTTTCTCCCTTTTTCTTCTCTCGTCAAACAGGGCAGTAAATTCGACCCAGAGAGTTTCGATTTCGGTGGGATATTCGGATCTGTGGCTTGTTGCGGATGCTTGCCCTAAAGAAGAAATGCGGGTTAATAAAATATGAATATAACGGAGCTGAAACTTTGCAAATATCTTACTAACCTCCACTTCGGGCTTCAGACCTCCACTCTGCTTCAGTGCGTATTTTATTTATTTCATTTTGCAGAGATAAAATATCTTGTTTAATTTTTTGTATAGTTGGATCCATCGTAATAGGAACTGGGGCCGGAGATGCGTTTTTTCGAATAAATATAAATAGGATTGCGAGGATGGTATATACTGTTATATTTCCCTGGACGATTGTATAAAGCATCTTCATTGTCAAGACGCCCCAGTGGTATAATTCGTAGGTCACGATTACAGCGATGAAAATCGCAAATAAAATAATATCGGGTACGGTTGAATTGCATTTTAACCAGGAATAATTATTTGATTGATTATTATGTGACTTTGACATATTTTATTGTACAATCGATAATTTACTCCTTGTTCAGCTGCTTTCTGATACAGCTCACCTGCTTTTTGAATATTTTTTTCCACTTCTGTCCTGTCCCATTAGCAACACCAAGATTATATTGTGCCTCTGCATAACCTTGTTCAGTGCTTTCTGATACAGCTCAACTGCTTTTTGGATATTCTCTTCCACTCCTATACCATCCTCATAGCAAATACCAAAACTACATTGTGCATTATCTGCCATTGATGATTGCTGATACCATTGAAAAGCTTGTTTAAGATCTGTTTCTGTTTCTATTCCATGTGCATAGAAGAAACCAATCAGCCAAAAGCATTGTCCACAATTGGCACAAGCCTTTAATGTAACCAATGAACATTCTTGATTATTGTTATCTTGTTTAAGCCAATTGTTGATATAATCAGCTATTTGTTCCATAAATCCTCCCCCCTTAAAATTTAACTTGCTGTATAATACTGACAACTCATTAGAAAGAAGATTATTTGAATCACATTTTGGTAACTGGTTCACTTCTCCAAGTATATTTTTTAATCTACGGTAACATTGTTCACTGGTTGGTCTTCTTTCTGAATTGTTATCCCAGCATTCTGTATACATTTTTGTATTCCTCTGGTGTGCCTGGAACCACATCATGGCACCACCATTCAGCCTATAACTCTGAATGTCGAATATATCTTTGAATTCTCCGCATGGATATTCTCTGCTGGATATTTCCCATAAAACAATCCCAAGGCTAAAAATATCAGACTTCTCATCTCATTTACTATTATTGTCATTAAAGCATTTAGGGTCAAGGTATGCATAAGTTTCTCAGTGGTCTGAGCAAGTCTTTCGTAGTAACATTTTTTCAGATGTCCCAAAATCCGTGATCTTAGCCGTCTTCCCATGAATTAAAACGTTGTTCGAAGACTTGTGATGGCATGAGAGCAATTAGTCAATATACAGTTTATGCCAATAAAACATTGTATTAATAAATAATACACTTACTAAATCTTTATGCAAGATTCCCATTCCATGAATATGTCTCAATCTGTTAATGATATCCAAAGCTAGTTATATAGTAAATGCTCATGTGCTTGCATCGCTCCAGTTCCACATTCCCTAAATCCACTGTTCCCATACCTAAACAAAACTAGAAAGAGAAAATGCGGAACCGTTTAAAAGGGCAGTATAGCGAAGTTATTGTTACTTATCGCTTTTAGTGATTTTGTTTTTATTGCATTTTTTACCCGTGATTTTTATATAGGGATTACACACTAATATCTATTATTTTTTATTATAACGAAAAATGGAAGAATTTCTTTTATCAAAAGAACCCCTTAATATTGTTAGAATTTCTGCAGCTTTGTATACACGAGTAGAACATGGTGAATGGACTGGTGTTCTCGAAAAGGAGGTGAAGAATTGTACGAATGTCCTAGAAAGAGTTTTGAAAAAAGTCCCCTTGGGTGATGTTGAACGGAAAAAGAAGCTTCAAAGTTTTGGTACAGGAAAAAATTAGCAAAACGGGTAAGGCGATAAAATTTTTATGATAGAGGCAAAGCCTCATTGCTCCGCAATAAATATATGGATATGATGACTTGTATTTTTAGGTTTTCTAAAAGGCATATATGCTAGCGCACCGAATGGGCTGTGTATTGATTTATCTGTTGTATATAATCCGTGTCAGATCACCTCAAAACGTGCATGAATTATATATATAAATTCTACAACAGCATCGACTATCAACGCACGCACTTTTGCACTACACATACACCTGAGCTTTCCTTAATGAAGGTATATTGTCCAATTCAGGAAAGTCTGCTTCCACAATATTTAGTTCATTAGCACCATAAGTACATCCAGGATTCCAGAAGCGCATCCCAATCGGTACTTTCCTTGCGTTTTTTTAATAATTACGATCATACGATCAACTCTTCAATAATGACATGGTCTGTCGGCGAATAATCTTGATTATCAGTTGAATTGCTACATATAGAAGATAACACACAATGTACATCATCATACGATCCGTTCTTCAATGCGTCATACGATCAACTCTTCAATAATGACATAGTCTGTCAGCGAATAATCTTGATTAAAGTATCAATCAGTTGAATTGCTACATATAGAAGACAACACACAATGTACATCATCATACGATCCGCTCTTCAATAATGACGACGAATAGTCTATCAACTGTTGAATTGCTATTTACATATTACAGCCAGCAAATGTCAAACAATGTATCATAATACGATCAATTCTTCAATAATGACATAGCCTGTCGGCGAATCAATCTTGATTAAAGTATCAAGCAGTTGAATTACTACATGTCGAAGATAACACACGGTGTACGTTCGCCCTTCAATCATTGATGTATTAGACAATTAGATTGCTATATTTTGTAAGGTAAGGAACCGGCAACACTAGATGTTGAAGAAAAAGGAATAAAAGTGTAGCCAATACGGTATATTTGGACATTAGAAGAAACAAACTTAATAAACACACGAAAGAAAGTCTTAACTTAATACTAGCAATGAACGTTATTCAAATAATCGTATTTCTGTTATGAGTATTGTTATTTTATTAGGGGTAAATCATCTATCACATGTTTGAGGGGTAAATTGTCTCCGCAAATAATATAATTCACGTTTGGGGTAGGGGTAATCTGACGCAGATTATATATATCAACAAATCAATACATAGCTTGTATTACTGCCTTTTTTTGGCGTAATTAGTTTGTCTATTAATGTGTATTGTGGCACCCTAACAACAGCCGCTGGCTGCAGTTGTCCTTTTTTGGTATAATTAAATAATGTACGCGATAAGGAGACCTAATCTGGTTTTTGCTTTTGTCTTATCTGTTTATGTTTACAGTCTGCGGACTCTCACGCTCCTTATTGCATAGATAATGTCATCTTGTCATCTAGCACGTCTACTCATATATATATATATATATATATATATACCCAGACACTTCTCTCCATTGCACATTTATTGCCTCACAACAATTTCATATTACTATTACGCACATACCACTTTGTTACAACTCACGAACAAGTTTTTAAACAACGACTGGATAAACGATACTATATTGCTACTCCCCATTACTTCACAACAATCTCTCCTCCTCCAAGCTGCAATTAACATAACATGTCTCTGTATTTTAGCTGAGACCCCAGCACTTGGAGTATCACCGACTTTTTAAATCAAGAACCATTTTATCAAAAAATTAATTATTATATAAAATCTCTCCAAGAGATCGTCAAGCTGGCCGGCAGGAATGTGCGGGGATGCTTCTTGACAGCTATAAAAAGGAAAGTAAAGTTCATTTTTATCGGGGACGATCTTTTTACTCTTTTCCCTCTACCAAAATTTCGCAATTTTTCAAAAACAGCTAATAATAAAGAATCGTCTTTTGGTGAAGTGTAGATAGAGTAAATGGCCAAGAAAAAGGCCAAGCCTAAAGCAGAGAAGAAGCGGTCGTATGCAGAGGCCATTGGTGGGGTTAAAACTCCATCAGTCTTTGCTAAGACCACTTGTAATCTGAAAACTCCTCCGACGTACCCTAATAGGAGGATACCAGCAACAAAGGAGAAGAACTCCTTCTTCGTCGACCTGAGGTCTACAGATGCAACTGACTTGGAAGTAGCTGAGGCCTTAGAAGTGCAATGCAGGGGAATCAGTGGAGTTATCTACAGAGACGACCTCCGGGTTGTGGAAGTGGTGTTCTTCACTGTGGAGCAAAGAGATGGCAATGTGAAGGAGATAGCCATCGAAGGAAAGAAGTCGGTGTTCCCAATACTGCCTAGGGAACTTATGCCAACGGTCTTATATGTCAGAATGGCAAACCTGCCCTTTGGAAGTGAGGCCGAGATCAAAACAGCCATCGAGGGCTACTGGAGCGACTTTGGGAAGGTTCTCGATGTGGCAGCACATAAGGTACATGGAAAGTGGCTTACTCGGAGATGGGATATGCTGCTGGAAATGCCTAAGGGTGAGAAGTTGGATGCTCCTGTTGCCTTTCAACTCTTGGCAAGGCCTATCGTCGCCGCCTGGCCTGCCTCTCCACCATCTTGCCTTATCTGCAACTCTGCTGGGCATCAGGCAAAAAAATGCCCAACAAAACATCCGAAAGCTGGGGGACCGTCTGACCCTGAAAACAAGGTTGGACAAACCTCTAAAGTAGGACAGAAG